CTCCTCACTGAAGAGAGTAGAGGCTGTGTGAATTACATTGTGGATAAGGGTAGATAGCCCCCATTGTTCTGTGTGTCAAAATGAAAGACAGCCCACACACCTATCAATCATCAAACTGTGGGGTCTTATTTCATTACGTGTTGATTTCTATCAACACGTAATGTATCGATGTATATAGAGATGTACTACAGCAAAAGTATTCTCCGTCGGGACTTCCTGCAACACCACGCCGTTATCTTGATTCTGATTGGCCAGAAGACATTATCAAAGATGTTTTATTGAGAAGACGATCACTACGTGACAAAAGTTTTTTCAAAACCGTTTCTAGTCTTCGGTATTTCCAGACAAGTGGCTACTGAAATCAATCTTACTGCTGTCTGTGCAATTCACTCGGCGCGAGTTGCCGGACTTTATTTTGCTTACTTTAACATCATTTTTCATGGTGGGGCTAAGGTGGGGCTAGCCATTACTTGGTATGGCTGTAGCCTACCCCAGCCATCCCCTGGCGCCGCCACTGCTGCCACCTTAAATGAATTGTATATCCCTTACTGTTTTGTATTCTTAAATACTGTTGCTTATCGCTGCTGGTTGACCTCTGCTCCCCGTCTTTGGTGTCTATTTTAGCACTTTGATGCATTCAAAGATTAGGTACATTCTTGCAAAAAGTCCCATGAATAATGCAAACTGTATTCATTAAGTTTAATATTAATTTATTCTAGCTCTTTAAAAAAAAAAGCCAGAGACATCAGGTGCAAATTTCCCGTTCGGCTAGCTCCTGCAACTAATGTAAATAAATGAGTAGACAGCCTTTGCAAAATAAACCAATTAAGAAAGCAAAGTGAAAACGCTCTAAATCCTGTTTGAAACTGAAGCAATTCTATTTCTTTATTCATTTGGAGTGCAGCTTGTTGGGCCTCAGGGAGCAAAGGCCAATTAGGCTGTTTGAAAAGTGTGTTGGGGAGGTGAGAGAGAGCTGCATCTGCCGCACAGCATGCGCCTGCATATTTCTGTGGGGCACCTGGGACTGATCACAGCTCAGCTCAGTGGACCAGAGGCTATCGGCCATCCTGATCTATCCGAGGGCCGGATCAATACATGAGACTGCTGAGCTGTTTGCAGTCAGATCAATAGAGCGGTGAGAATACAAACAATGTGTATAAGACTTTAATTGAGTCTAAGAGATGAACTGAAAATCAACAGGCAGACTAAAATAAATGAGAATCAAACACAGAGGTAAGAGCTTCTATGAGGATCAGTTTGAATAATAACCATGACTTACAGTATAATTGTGTGATAGTTCATTCAGAAAGCATGCAATGTCACTTCAAACTTGTGTGATTAAAAAGGAAAAGCACTCTGAAGTTACCAAAGAAACAACATTCGGTGGAACATGGCTACCATCTGGTGGCCAACAAGGGAGCTGCACCCACATCACCTTGCATAAAGGTACCCTATTATACTGTTTTTCATCAATATATAATAGGTCTCAGATATACAAAACATGTCTCTGAAGTGTTTGGCTCCAAACACCAAACGGATCATTGTAGCATTACCCATAATCCCCTCTGTTTCAGCCCTGTTTCAAAAGTGCTGATTCTCTGTCTGTTACTTTAGATGAAAATAAGGAGCCACTCCCCACGCCCCTCTGAGAGATATTTGGTTAAAAATAACTCAATGGTGCTCTAGGAGGCGATTCAGGTGATAAGGTGTGGGGGGGGGGGTTACCTTGGTTGGTGATTGGCTAATGGTTGCACAAGACAAATAATCGTTATGACATCATAAAGTGACCAAAATCTGATCAGCTCATTTTCAGACAGGTTTTTATAGAAATCAGGACAAAAAGAGAGAGAATCATTTTTCCTGAAACCTTCAGAATCTCATTACACAGAGAGGACACATGTTTACGTATAAAAGACATGAAAAGGTGCATTTTGCAATATATCAGGTTCACTGTCAGCAGTTGCACCTTCAAAATAAAACCCCTAAATTATGTTTCACAGTTGTAGGTATGAGATAGTTGTAAAGCCTTATTAGTGTGAATGCTGTTCAACAGCTTAGTTTAAGGATTGACTATGTAAATATCAGGATTTGCCCTATCATCACATGAATGGATGATGCATGCAATTAAATAACTAATCAACTAAGCAGTTAGCTTATAAAGTTAAATAATTGTATAGGCCATATTATTATAAGTATAATACTATGTTTCAGTTTCTTTGCTGGTCCGACAAAGAAAAATACATGTCAGTACATGACCTTGGGCTCTCAGAACCTACATCTATATTTCATAGAGTAAACAAGTAATTCATTATTTAAAAATGACCAACAGATTCATAAATAACTAAAGTCATTATTAGTTACAGCAATAGTTGAACATCTGCAGGGATACTAGACAAAGTAGGTACATCTGTGCTGTTTGTGTTGGGGCCATCTTATTCAAAGGTCCCATGTCATGGCCATTTCTACTGATCATAATTCCATTGTTGAGGTCTACTAGAATAGATTTATATTGTGCAATTTTCCAAACTCACATTGGTTTCTCATACAGCATCTCTGTATAGTATGTGTCGTGGCTTCCTTCCTTGTTTTTCCACCAAGCCACTAGACGCCTTAAACAGACAGTTCTAACTCGTTTCTCTCCTTAAATTACGACAGTTTGAAGTGTTGCTTGGCCTCCGATGGTTTAGAAGATGTTGCGATGTATTTGCTCAAAATAAAATAACAAACTTTTGCACATGCAACAAAGAAAAATAGGCCTTTACAATATTCAAAATAAATAGGCAAAACTCAAATAAAACAACACAACTTAGGTATTCTTTCTTTCTTGATAATGCTTATCTTCACAACTTAAAGGGTACTTGTACGGTTTGTATGTACGGTTACGAGTACGGTTCAAAACTGTTCCTCGACGGAGTCTCTCAACAGGTTGCCCATCACTGTGGCGTTAGCACAGCGCATGGCCGTATCTACCATTGAGGTCACCGAGGTCCGGACCTCGGTAATATTTTCCGAGCTGTGTATAACAAAACTTGTGAAATAATTGCACTCAACGGGGTTCTTTGTAGTACTTCCATTTACTGACCATTGGGGCGCTGCATAACAACGTAGCCTCGATTAAAGCAAACAGAAGAAGACGACATGTATCAACAAACCTCCGCAGCCCGGACTTGTATCGGAGCAGCGGAGGAGTGATGAAGTATCTAGAGATCTGAGTCCAGCGGGCTGCTTGTGTTTCTGTTCATCAGGACATCATATGACCAGCAGATCCAGTGTGAACGCTCTACGTTAGTCAGTGGACGTCCGACAACATGCACACTAACTTATATTGCAGCTATAGGCTATACTTTGGTTTAAATTGCGTGAATAAACTAGCTAGAGAGCTAAAGTTAATTACGTTCATCCAATGTCAGAAGGATTACCTTTTAACAAACGTTGTAATGCTTTTCTTCATTTCAATTTGAGTAAAACATTGAAGATATAACATGGTATTGTTTTATTTTTACACTGACTCAGATATAATGAAAAGACTACGTCAGTCGAAGCTCAGCTTTGGTAAGGAAGAGACAGAACAGGCAGAGAGAAAGAGAGAGAGAGAGAAAGTGATGGAAGTCAGGGAGGAACTGGAGTCACACAAAATAATGTAGGCTTAATAAGCCCATCTATTTATTTATCTATCTATTTATCTATCTATGTATCTATAACAATAGTCTTCATTTACAATAGGCATAATTTTAAAACATACATATATTGCAGTTATGATGTCATAATAACATACAATTGTATAAAACACAATTTGCTTACATCTTTGTTCTCTTTTGAGAATCAAACAAAACAGATTTAAATTAAAAAAGAATGCAAACAAACAAGTGAAATGAACTAAATTGCTGAATTGCTTTTGATTCACTGGCAGGAGCGCCAAGTGAGGAGGAGCAAAAAGTGAACAACGAGGGAGAGATTGAACAAAAAGAAAGAGTAGAGGACAGAGAGAGTAATGAACAGGAAGAAGACAGAGACTAAAGAAGATGGAAGAGAGGCTGCAGGTTATGGAAAGGAGAGAGACATGGGAAATGAATGCTGACAATGTGTTGTGATCATTTTAGCCTCTTCTGTATGTCCAGATCATTAATAGTAACAATCAACTGATTCTTATTACACTTTAAAATAATTGATGCTGACATTGTCAGCCCACTGACATGGTTTGAAATCAATATATTATCCAATGTGTGACCCCCCACAGGACTTAAAAAGCACCTAACTAGATCATGAAAATCCCAAAAATCTCGGGGGGTATCCCCCGAACCCCCCTAGCATGTTTGGACCTCGGTATATAGGAAATCCTGGATACGGCCCTGAGCACAGGCACCGTGGGAATAGGCTACATGCACAGTCACTTCCGCATTCTACTCATAGCGGCCGATTCATTTCCTGTTTGAAAATGATGACCTTCTACACCCGCTGCCTACAAGAGCTTCCGAAATTAAAAATGTCAGATGTTCATCGGATTTGCCGGACGACTAAAGCCCCAGCCAGCAAACTCGATAAAGGCTTCAAATAATATGCTGCGTCATATATACACAACTATGAAGGTAAGAAGGTAACCGGTACTAACCAGCTAGCTTATGCTCCGGGTTACGCTAACATTAGCTGTCAAAAGCTAGGTAACGCCAGAGCCCTATAGTATAACTACTATTATTATTATTATACTACTACTATAGTAGACTACTATAGGGCTCTGGGTAACGCTATGTACTGTTTCTGGTGTTAATTCTTTAAAACATTAGCCATTTTGCTAACAAATACTATCGTTTAATAGCCTTATAGCCTAGCCAAGGTTATCTTGTTGTTAGCCACACTGCATAATGGTATCAGCTTTTGTAAAGCAATGTTGCCATAGATGTGTTGACGTGAGTATAGATCTAACGCTGTTGCTCTGTTTTTCTTCATTCAGTGTCCAATAAAGACAGGCTGACAGGGCAGGTCAGAGTGAGAGCCTTGTGCTACAGGTCAATGCGGAAGAGCGAGACAGCACACAGTTTGAGTGTAGGCAGGCAGCATTGACACTGTTCCCCCCTGTTTATTGAGTTTCAGTTCAGTTAAACATTAGTTTACCTTAAGGGAATCTCAACAGTGTCCTACTTCTCCCTGCTTTATCACAGCTGATTGGTCAGATATTATTACATTGATTATGGATGTGTAAGTTTGGGGGTTCAAATATATAGTCAAAACTGCTTTAATACAATTTTCAAGGCATCTTAGTTTCCAAAGAAAGTTCATTGTGGTATTGTAGGGTAAGAGGGTAACACTAAGCATTCAGGAATACATGCTTCTTCTAGGATAATGGGTCAGTAAAAATAACCAATAATTCTACTCATAATAACCTCCTGGCTCATAGTAACAAGTGAGGTTACTAATCACTAGTATTTCTTCTCTCTTTTTTAGATAACGCTTCGTGATTCATCACCAGTGGTGCACACGCACAACCAGTGCTCCTGTGTTGCAGGAACTGTTTTGTGCAATCACACAGTAGCATTGCTGTTCCAAACAGCACACTACACTGAACTGAACATGCCAGTTGTGCCACCTGTGCATAGCTGTACTGAATCGGAACAGCAATGGCACAAGCCGCGAACAATGGTAATTTCAATGAGGTTCAAATACTTGTAATCTTTCACAGAGTTTTTGTTTTAAAGTGACTCAACGAACAGTAATTGTCTTTTCCTTAAGGGTGTGAAGCCAGGGCCCATCAACTCCATGGTCTTCACCAAGCCTGTACCAAATAGGATGGTGCAGACTGGAGTAAGGTAATTTTAGCTGGAAAATTGTGTTTCCTGTGTTTTTAAAATTCATAATTTTGGTGCTGTATTCCTAACCTTATTGTCACATTAATGTGCTATATTGTCTTTGCCATTCTTTGTAGGAGTGGATTCTACAGAGGCATGGTGGGGCCATTACCAGATCCCTGCCTGTTCAGAGTTACGGAGGCATACTCAGCATTCAGCATTGAAGACAGGCCGCTTGTGACCACAATGAACATGAGACCTGACAAGCCCCTTGTGGAAAGTGCCTTCGGGATTGTGCAGGAGGGCAGTGTTCTGTCCTATCAGATGCCTGCTTTGATGTCTCGGTACACCACGCTTCACACTGACACACCACCAACACCCCACTTGCCCATAGAGGGGTATGTGATCTTGCCATGTGATTTACCGCTGGTGTGCTCAGAAGAGGAGCAACTACATATGAACAGCTTATCTGTTGATTTGGAAATGTCTCACAAAATTGAGGAGGCTACCCGTGAGCAAAGCTCTAGCTCAGAGTGGCATCTGCTCCGCAAACCCAGGGTTACTGCCTCTAGGTTAAGAGAGATTTGTCACGTCAGAGATGAGAGCTCTGCTAACTCTCTTGCAGAGCGAATACTCAAAGGTACAAGGCAGACTGCAGAAATGAGGAGAGGTGCCGAGATGCAGCCCACAGTAGCAGCTGAATACAGTAGACTGGCAAATGTGAACTACTCCCCTTGTGGCCTTGTCATTCACCCCTCTACGCCCTGGCTTTGTGCCTCCCCTGATGGAGTTGTTTTTGACCCAACAGAATATCCCCAATTTGGCCTTGTTGAATTCAAATGTCCCAATGTCCCAAATTATGTCGACTGCAAATATGTGCAGATGGAATGTGGCTCCCCTAAGCTCAAGAAAAGCCATGCCTATTACTGGCAAGTACAGGGTCAACTTCTTGTATCTGGGATGCAGTGGTGTGATTTTGTAGTGTGGGCACAAGAGGACTACCTGGTGCAAAGAATATACACAGATCCAGAAGTGCAAAGAGCAATCAGAGAAAAAGTAGACTTTTTTTTTTTTTTACACATACATGCCGAAGTACCTGTCATTAAAAAAGTAGTGGGCACTGTAGCCATTGTTAACTCTGTAAGCAGTTAGCTGCTAGACCCTGGCTCAGCCATCATTGTTTTTAGGAGGCAATCCCTCAATCATGTGTTCTGAATGACAACAAAATGTGATTTCAATATTTTGTTTTTGATATATATTGTTTGTCACATTTCATATATGTAAATAAATATACAATTGTATTTAAAAAGACAATAAAGTGAAGTGATTTGTGTAATGAATAGTAAATCAGTGCATTTGTAAGAAATCAACGCATTGTAATTTTCTATTTACCATTTATTCAAACAAAACACTAGCGTGTGTCAGGCAACACGGGATTACGGTGTGCTCACCCAGCTTAATCACAGCTACCTGCACAGGTGTCATCATCTTGTCTTATTTCACCCATTTCTTGACCAGTGCTTTGTTCTGATAGTTTGACAGCATACATGCTACTGCAAACAGTTGGTTGATGTTGTAGGCATGGGACAGGAGGATGATACCATCAAAAAGTTTGTTCTCTTTTATCCTCCTGATGACACGCTCCACATGAACCCTCAGTCTGGCAATGGCCTGTGTCTCCCTCACCTGATAGGCTGGCATTTGCTTCTGCTTTGACAGAAAAGGTGGGCAGTACACCTTGCATTTGCAGCAATCGCTGATCGGGAAGCCCTTATCTACCATCACTGCCATGTTTTCAGTCAACAACGCAGCTATTCCAGATTGTTTGAAAATCTCCTTGTCGCTGACAGAACCACCATACAGACTGGAAACAAATGTCACTGCGCCATGTGGGGCTATGCCAACCAGGGCTTTCATGGTGCAGTGAGATTTGTATGTAGAATACATTTCACTTTGGAGGAGTGAGGATGGTGTTTGACACCTCAGCTCTGTGCAATCCAGGATCACCTGTGTGTCTGGGAAATCTTTGAATGCCTCTGGGAGGTGGGCTTGAACTTCTGCAGGTGTAAGCCAGATGCACTGTGACCCCAATAAAGTTGTAAGAAAACTCGTCCATGTTGCAATGATGCGGCTCACAGTGGACTGGTGTACGTTGAAGCGGTTTGCAAGGTCCCTCTCTTTCAAACCCACCGACAGGAAGCAGAGAAAAAGGAAGAACTCATCAATTGGCTGAAGCAGCTGTCTCTGGAAGATAAACAAAAAAAGGGTACTATATTAATGTCATGAGTGTAGCACACCATGGGAAAAACATTAAGTTGTTTTAGTTCTCTGATGTATTCAAAAAGGATTGAGTACTATAGCCTTTTAGCCTACACGAAAGCAATGAAATGTTGGAGAAACATTTTCCCTTCAGTTTGTGTTTAGATTGTGTGTTAAAAGAAACGTAGCCTACCGTTGATGGACGTGCATGTGTAACCACTTCTTCATTCCTCTTGGCAGCTGATATCGCTCTTGTAACACGAACCATTTTATAAATGGAAGGCTCAATCAAAAACCAGAAGGCCATCAGGTGGTTATAGCTCGGGAATCTGTACACAAAAGACACATGTCAGTCATTAATTGACTCGTTAACTGTAACACATGGGCTAATGCTTTCCTCTTGTTTGCTATAATACATTACAATTCAAATAGACTGATTAAGAAGGCACTTGGTGCAGGTATAGTAATATACAGCAGTAACATGTAACAACTACATTAAAGCAGCAGTAATAATAATCTAAAACATACAGGGAACATTTTACACAGAATGACTACTTTTACTCTTCATTCTTAAGTGTGCAACTGGGAGAAACGCAGTGGATATTGACATGTACTTTTACTTTGGTAAGGTTTTGAAGATTTCCACTTGTAGTAAAGTATTATCAGTATGTTGTTAGTATTAGTATGTTTTACTCCACCACATTTAGTTAACCTTCATAGTTTCTAGTTACTTATGAAAACACATGATTTAGGATTCTACATGTTCAGTTCAGGAGTATTTTCAAACCATAGTATTTGTACTTATACTTCAGTTAAGTTGAGTAGCCTACTTATTCCAACACTGCATGCAAATAGTCAGCAGTCAAACGGCAGGTAAACAGGATTCTTTATAAGCTAACCCATCTCAAAAACTTGGATAGAATTTAGCCAAAACATTACCTGGTATAGAATCGGATGTTGTCGTCGGAGCCAGCAAACCGCTGTAAGCAAAACTCTCGCTGGACTCTTAACTCCTGCAGTTGCTTCTGCAGATCCTCCAATGTTTTGGAGTGGTCTTCTGTAGCTTGAGAGGACATGTCCAGTGAAGCTGGTTCAGGGGTTGAGCAGTAATCATGGTCACGGACATCGATGTGCTCTTCCTGCTCCTCCCGAGAGACTGGTTCAGTGGGCCGCTCCCTTCTCTCCCAAACACTAGCCCGCGGTGTTTGAGCAGTGAAGTGATTCCACTCAAACAGAGTTGGGACAGCACCTTTCACAAGCCTCCTACGGCCATCAAGGGTTTTTGGCTCTATTAGTTGATCCGTAGCGAAGTGACGACTGCAGACCTTGGAGTGAGAGGAGATTGTAAAGTTATCGCGTCGTATTTTAACCAGCCACTGTCTTCGCAGCTCGAGTTCGGTCGGAAAGCCATGGAAACTTAGGACGCCGTTGAATTTAGCTGACGCCGTACAAAGTGGGACACAGCAGTGCTCGTAGTTCTTTACTTGTCTTTGCAAATGCTCCGTTTTGAAAATCTTCCGACGACTCATATTTAAACCACAGATTTAAACAGTAAAACATTTGTGGACGCTCAGCTACGCAGACCAGAAGCAACCCGGAAGCGTCCGAGCAGTATAACGGCTAAGGCGGAAGTACGTCTCAGACCCTAGTGCATGTAGCCTATTAAAGTCAGATCCACTCGTGTCTTAGACGTGAAATCGCTCTCAGCTGGTGAGAGAAACCCTGGCTTGATTTACCGAGTTGATAACCAGCGTCGTAGGACCGTGTTAGCGATGCCATGATCTTAGGGCAGGAATACCGTGAACATAGTTAACGTGACAGAGGAATAATACACACATACACCATCAGCTGTGCTTCAAACGGAAGTGACACGTTTTATTGCGCATGTCCCTTTTATCACGGGAATACAGGAAGTGATTAGTATAAGAGTATTAAATAAACAGAATTCATATATTACATTTCATAATTCAACACCCCCATTTACTCTTATACTGCACAATTTCTCAACATGAATTCAAATGTAAACACCTTATACACCTGCACAATAACACAGTGTTTGAAACTTCTGGGGTTATTTACATTCCAAACAAATACTTTACAAATGTCTCACTTTTTACCTTTGTTGCAGGCTTAGTGAAAATATCAGCAACCATATCAGCTGTAGGGCAATAGTCAATGGTTATCATGTTATCACTCAGTACAGTTCGAACAAAATGATACTTGACATCCACATGTTTACATCGTTGATGACATACTGGGTTCTTGGATAGAGCAATTGCACCCTGGTTATCTTCAAAGATTTTTACAGGAGTATATTGACCCTCACTATCCATGCTCTCTATTAGCTGCACAAGATACACACTCTCTTGTGCTGTGGCAGCCAGTGCCATGTACTCTGCCTCACATGTCGACAAAGCTACTGTTTGCTGTTTCTTTGATCTCCAAGAAATAACAGGCCCATTGCTAGTTAGACTAAAACAGTACCCTGTTATACTCCGTCTGTCATTTTGGTCTGTTGCCCAATCCGCATCACAGTATGCAACAAGTTTCAGTTTTTCATCTTGTTGTTTAAAACATAGCTCCTGATTAATTGTGCCCTTTAAGTACCTCAATACATGTTTAGCAGTTAACCAGTGTTGTTCTTTTGGCTCTGAAAAATACTGTGACAGTTTACTGACTATCCAACTTAGATCAGGCCGTGTAGATGTCATTAAATATATTAAGCTGCCTACCACTTCACGATATTGTGTTGCATCAACAGCTTCACCATCATCATCAAAGTTGTGTTTCTGTTCAGATGGGGTGGACCTTGGCTTACAGTCATTCATACCAAACTTTTCCAGTATTTTTGTAATGAATTTCTTTTGACCCATCTTTATTTCTCCTTTTTCCTGAGTAAAGTCAATGCCTAGGAAATGTTTAAGTTTCCCAAGATCCTTCATTTTGAATTTTGTGCTCAACATTTCTTTCACAGTATTAATTGTGTGAATATCATTAGCTGCGATAACTAAGTCATCCACCCAAATAATCAGAATGATCCTCTCATTTTCTATTCCTTTACTGTAGACACAGTGATCAGCTGGGTTTTGTGCAAAACCGTTCTCACAGAGATGATCATGCAACATTTTATTCCAGTTTCTTCCAGATTGTTTTAACCCATACAGTGATTTATTCAGCTTGCAGACTAGCTTTTCATCTGTGTCTGACTTGACCTCAAAACCTTCAGGTTGCTGTACATAGAGCTCACAATCAATTGGAGCGTGTAAATATGCAGTTTTAACATCCATCTGATGTAGGTGTAAGTCATGTTGAGCTGCCAATTGCATCAAACTTCGTACTGATGTCATGTTTGCAGTCGGGGAAAATGTCTCCTTATAGTCTATTCCTGCCACTTGACTATATCCCTTGGCAACATATCTGGCTTTATATATCTCAGTCTTTTCTGTGTTTTCTTTGATTGTATAGACCCATCTACCCCCCACTGCATTTTTGCCCTCTGGTAGTGTGGTCAATGTGAATGTGTCATTTTCCTTAAGAGAATTCATTTCCTCCTGCATAGCATCAGTCCAGAGTTTTGACTCTGCTGAATTCATGGCCTCTTTAAAGGTGTTTGGTACATTACACATTACTCTGTAGCAGTAGTCAATATTTACATACTTCTGGTCGTCACACTGTACTTTACATTCATAGTCCTGTAAATACTGAGGTCTCCTCCTTTCTCTTTGGGGATAGCTTCTATTTTGACCTTCTGCTCCCTTTCCTGTCTGAGTGTTTGTGTCATCTGTCTCAGTTCGAGCCTCCTGTGTCTCTTTTGGACACGAGTCAGTCCCCTGGGTTTCTGGCTTGGTGGATACAAACCTTTTCTCATAAAAATCATCATCACTTGCCTCAAAATCAGTCTGTGTATGTCGCTCGACTATACTTTTTGTGACAAACTTCACTTGCCTGTGTTTTCGAACACTACCAGTGTCTGGGTTGTAGACTAGGTATGCTGGGCTGTTTTTAATCATACCCTACAAAAATACCCTTCTCACACCTCGAGTCTAACTTTTTCTTTTCCTGCTTGTATGCATAGCATACAGATCCAAATATATTCATTTTCGAGAGGTTCGGCTTACGTCCTGTCAGCATATAATAAGGTGTCTGTCCTACACGTCTGTTGTAACATCTGTTACGTATTACAGCTGCAGTCATGACGGCATATGTCCATAGCTTCTTTGGTAAATTGCTCTCAAGAAGCATGCATCTTGCCATTTCAAAAAGTGTTCTCCAGTTTCTCTCAGCTGTCCCATTTTGATGGGGTGAGTAAGGTGCTGAAGTTTCATGTCGTATTGCATGTTGTCTAAGGAGCGATTGAAAGTTTGTCCCGGTGAATTCTGTACCGTTATCAGACCTTATACATTTGATTTTACCATAAGGTGCGACATCAGCAATGAATTTTTCTGTGGCTTTGAAAATATCACTTTTAGCTTTTAGGAAATACTCAAATACTGCCCCTGAAAAGTCATCTGTAAAAGCCAATGTGTATCTGAATCCCTCCTTAGCCTCTGGCTCAATGGGACCTGCTAATCAGTGTGCACAAGATTGAGCGCTGCTTTAGCTCTTGCATCTGGTTGTCTGTTCCTACTCTGAGCAAATTTACCTTGAGTACACACTTCACAGTTAAGGTTAGATTTATCAATCCCACCCTTAATTTTCATCCCCTCAGTGACTTTTTCCAGTTGTGACACATCATCATAGTTACAGTGACCAAGTATTTCATGCCATGTTTGAATGTCATAACATCCATAACATGCATCGTCCTCAGCTTCACAGTCCAGTGTTTAAAAAATAAAGTCTATCATATTCCTTGATGTCAAATATTTTACCTCTCTGGTGAATCAGCTGGTTACAACCCTGACGAAAGTTCACTGATGCTCCGTTGGCTGTCGCTGCTTTAACAGAGAAAATGTCTTGTGGATAGGACGGTATATAGAGCGCGTCCTTCAGCATCGCTGTCACTCGTCGTCCCTCCGTGTCTTGCAGGCAGACCTCCGCCTCTCCTTTCTTCAAAGCGACACCACTCGTTCTTGTCCCGTCAGCCAATTCAACAAAGTGGTCTTTCGGTTGAAAAGTCTCATCGAACCTTTTAAACTTGTCGATGTTCGTTATTATGTGTGACGTTGCTCCGGTGTCGACCATCAGCCCTTTATGTGTAACTCCGGTTACTGGACTGTCACGTACTTTAAAAACAAATGAGTGGTCCTCAACGTCAGTTGCTTGTTTAGCATTGTCTCTCTCTTTGCGTCTGCAGTTTGCATCTATATGTGTGGAATTTTTGCAAAAACTGCACCACTGTCTCTGGTCTTTGCTGCTCGCACTTCGACACTCACGAGCCCGGTGTCCTTTCTGACCGCAGTTGTAGCAGGTGATATTGGGGCCATCTCTCCACTTCACCCAGCCACTCGCTTTCATAATATTATCAGATTCCTCACTCAAGTTGGCATTGTATTTTTCTGTGCTTTCATAGCTCCTCAACTTTGTTTTGAACTCACCAAAAGTTAGCTTCTCATCCCCTTGTGTAATGTGGATGGCAAACGGCCTAAAACAGATTGGGAGTCCCTTTAAAATCATGGCTATCAGCAGCCCGTCGCTAAGAGTCTCTTCAGCATTTCTCAGTGCTGTAATTGCCGTTTCGGCACGAATAATATAGTCAGTGACGCTCTCATTAGCGGCTTTCTGCAGCGACGTTAGTTCAGTGTAGAGGCTGATCACCCGTGGTTTCCCTTTCCCAGCGTAGTGGTCCCTCAATATTTGTAATGCTTTTCTTCCGTTGTCCGCTGCTTCTCTCATGATCAGTGAAAGGCTTTTATCGTCCAGTACCTGGATCAATTCCGCATAGGCTTCTTCGTTTTTCTGATCATCAGCCTCATCCTCTTCACCTGGCTCCTCTAGGATGGCAGCCTTCAATCCTAGCAGTCGCAGATTACCCAAAAACTTTGTCTCCCATAACTCGTAGTTCTTCTCATCTCCGTCGAAACACAAACGGTTCCACCGGCTTCCATGGTCCCTCCTGGGCCCATAACCTGTTAGCGATGCCATGATCTTAGGGCAGGAATACCGTGAACATAGTTAACGTGACAGAGGAATAAATACACACATACACCATCAGCTGTGCTTCAAACGGAAGTGACACGTTTTATTGCGCATGTCCCTTTTATCACGGGAATACAGGAAGTGATTAGTATAAGAGTATTAAATAAACAGAATTCATATATTACATTTCATAATTCAACAGACCGCTTAGCGAGATCTCGTTTGTTAGTTTGTTGTTGTTAGTTTGTTTGTTACTCAAACATATCCAGGGTCTGTTGAACTGGCTTCGTAGTACAGGGCACAGGTGGCTAGCAGCGCTAATGTCAAAGACACAGACATTGCATTATATTTGTATTTTACGAGGATGCAGTGACCCAAATATTTACATATTTACATTTACTATCTACAGCACCCGCCGCCCCTGACATCCCCCACTCCCCCTGTTGACAATTTACTAGCGGTACCGAAG